TGTCAGTTAGCTGCACTTTGTGTCTGTAACATGGGTTAGCATGGTAAGGTTAGCTCTGTCAGTTAGCTGCACTTTGTGTCTGTAACATGTGTTAGCATGGTAAGGTTAGCTCTGTCAGTTAGCTGCACTTTGTGTCTGTAACATGTGTTAGCATGGTAACGTTAGCTCTGTCAGTTAGCTGCACTTTGTGTGTGTAACATGTGTTAGCATGGTGACGTTAGCTTTGTCAGTTAGCTGCACTTTGTGTGTGTAACATGTGTTAGCATGGTAAGGTTAGCTCTGTCAGTTAGCTGCACTTTGTGTCTGTAACATGGGTTAGCATGGTAAGGTTAGCTCTGTCAGTTAGCTGCACTTTGTGTCTGTAACATGTGTTAGCATGGTAAGGTTAGCTCTGTCAGTTAGCTGCACTTTGTGTCTGTGACATGTGTTAGCATGGTAAGGTTAGCTCTGTCAATTAGCTGCACTTTGTGTGTATAAAGTTTGCTGTGCTGATAGACAGATGGAAGTTTCCACACGGTGACTCTGTACAGAATTCAACCTGGTTTCACTGACTGACGCAACATGTCTGTCTGTCTGTCTGTCTGTCTCTGTTCCCAGTGGACATTGCATTTGTAACACCATGGAGGTCACATATTTCCTAATAATTTCACTGTGAAACAACAAAATGACCAGAAACATGAAACCTGATCAGCTGACTGGTGCCTGCTGTGTTTCATATTTAAAATAAATATAAACAGATATTTCTGTAAATCAGACGAGGAGTCAGATGAAATAAATAAAAGTGCACCTGTAGTTTTAAAGCTCCTGGTCGAGCGTCCAGAGCCTCCGGGGCTCCGCCCACTGCGATGACGGCGACGTTTCCTCCTGCAGGATGACTGACGAGGTGAGACAGGCTGGACTTACAGGAGGACACCAGGCCTGACAGACAGACAGACAGACAGACAGGCTGAACTCTGTTATCTCTGAAGATCGATGATGAAACTGGTCCTGTGTGACTGTGCTGGGTCAGCCAATCAGAGAGCAGCTGTCGGACTCCTCCTGCTCCGACCTGTCACACAGTGTAAACTCACTGATGGACAGACAGCTGCTGGACAGACAACTGGTGGACAGACAGCCATCAGACCTGGACATGGTGCTCTTCAGCTCTCTACATGTTTATGTGTTTACATGTAAACACATGTAAACACATGTAAACACATAAACATGTTGGTCTGAAGTCTGACGGAACAGAACCACTTTAACATCAGCTGTTTCACTGTTACAGCACGTCAACCACCAACAATGATCCAACACACAGACACACACACAGACAGGTACAGGTATACAGACAGGTGTGAACCTCCACACATGATGTAGTCTCTGAAGAAGGGGACTCTGAACCAGAACGGCAGCATCAGCAGGTGAGACGTCAGTCCAGGAAACAGACGAGAGAAACCTGTCGCCTCCGTGCAGAAGTTCCCAAAGGCCCCCGCCACCAGCACACCTGAGAGACAGACAGGTGGAGACAGAGACAGGTTATCACTGCCACCAGCACACCTGAGAGACAGAC